AGCTCATAAATCTCCTGCTCTTTTTGGTGGTGACAACATTCCAGGCAGAACAATGACCTTTGAATGCGTCCATCTCTGTACTTTCCTTCCCGTGGCTGAAGTAGAAGCAGGAAGTGGGAGAGGGTGAGGGGCTTGCACGCAGAATCCGGCTCCCTCTCCGCTTGCTGTGTAATTTCAGACGGACCACTTAAAAATTAGCCTGCTATATTGGGTCAAACATTTAATTGACTTGCCCCTAATGCTTTGGCAGGGCCAGAACAAATGATTTCCCGGCCTTTACAGCCCGTGGGCCGTAGGGTCCCACCCCTGCTTTAGACCAACAAGACAATCTGTACAAACCATAATTTTGACATTTACTATACATGGTCTTTTATCTTTAAAAAAATATATTTTATTGATTTTTTACAGAGAGGATGAGAGAGGGATAGAGAGCTAAAAACATCGATAAGAGAGAATCATTGATTAGCTGCCTCTTGCACAACCCCTACTGGGGATTTGCCTGCAACCAAGGTACACGCCCTTGACTGGAATCAAACCTGGGACCTTTCAGTCTGCAGGCTGACGCTCTATCCACTGAGCCAAACTGGTTTCGGCTACATGGTCTTTTCACCCAGACTATGAGATTGGAGAGGAAGGGCGGGTATAACATTTTACTTCTCTCTACACCCTTCATTTAACACAATATGAGTATGCTGAAGTAGTGTGTGTGTGTGTGTGTGTGTGTGTGTGTGTGTGTGTGTGTGTGTGTGTGTTTATTATATTTAAGTGTATTCTGGCTGTGAATTATGATATTTACATCACGAGTTGTCTCAGGATGCTATGTACATCCCGAGAATCCTGAAGAAGCAGCTGTTGCGTGTGGTCTCCACCAGATGGTGGTGAGTGGCACTTCTCCAACCCCATATCTCACCGCAAAGGGGACCTGTGTTGGCCATCAGCCCTGGTCCCCCTGGGGGAAGGTCCCTGGCCTGTTTGCACCTGCCACCCTGCTGCCATGGCCATTCCCAGCTCAGCTGTGCAGCCACAGGGCTCTGCGGCTCTCAAGGGAAGAGTCAGACATTTTCCACTGTGACCTCCCAGCACTGGGGTCACCCTCCCGGCTCTGCTCCCAGGAGAAACCCCAGCTCCCCTGCCCAGAACAGAGCCTTTGCTAAATTTCTTAGCTCTTTAGACACACAAGTCAGACTGGAGGCTCTGCTTAGGTGACGGCTGACTGATCCACAGCACACCCGCCCCCTCTCGGGGACCTGATCACCAGGCAGCGAGGGTGCAGGGCTCTGGAAAGCCCTGATGCCCTCAGCGTCAGTGCAGACGGCCCACGCTGCCCAGACAGTGCTGGGAGGCCTGCGGGAGGGCTCAGCTTTAACTGGACTCTGCTGGCATTTCACCGGGAGAGTGGGAAAGTGCCCTGGTTTTCTCTTCTGGTTTCTCCCAGCTGTGGAAAAAACAAAACAAAACAAAACAAAACAAAACAAAAGATAGCCACCCCTAGGCCATGCTCACAGCATAGAAAACATACGTAAGCTCTTTAGAAAAAGGGCAGCATGCACAGGGCGAGGATGTTACTAAGTGAAGGCTGCACATTAATCGGCCGCTGGTGACTGCCCAGAATTACTCTAAGGAAACAGATTCGGGCAGCGCTGTTGTTTGCTGGTTACTGGAAGCCTCACAAAGTGGCCTTTCACCTTGCCCTTCGGGGCACGGACGGTCCTGCCTGAGAGGCACAGCTGGCTGGAGCGGTGGCCTGTGTCTGCCGTGCCTCCTCTGGTTTATGACTGATGGGCAGCAGTCACGGCGAGCTGTGACGGGTGTGTATTCAGTGGTGAATGATGCGGCAGACAGAAAAAGGGAAAGGAGATTTTTAGGGACTAAGACAGTAGTCGGCAAACTGCGGCTCGTGAGCCACATGCGTCTCTTTGGCACCTTGAGTGTGGCTCTTCCACAAAATGCCACGGCCTGGGCGAGTCTATCTTGAAGAAGTGGCGTTAGAAGAAGTTTAAGTTTAAAAAATTTGGCTCTTGCCAAGACCGGTTTGGCTCAATGGATAGAGCGTTGGCTTGGGGACTGAAGGGTCCCGGGTTCGATTCCGGTCAAGGGCATGTACCTTGGTTGCGGGCATATCCCCAGTAGGGGGTGTGCAAGAGGCAGCTGATTGATGACTCTCTCTCATCGATGTTTCTAACTCTGTATCTCTCTCCCTTCCTCTCTGTACAAAATCAATAAAATATATTTAAAAAAAAAATAAAAAAAATAAAAAAAAATAAAAAATTTGGCTCTTAAAAGAAATTTCAATTGTTCTATTACTGATGATATTTGGCTCTGCACTAATGAGTTTGCCGACCACTGGACTAAGATATAAACTATTACGTGTTGTATAAACCATTGGCATGTGAAAATTTAAACTAAATTTTTAAATTAAAAAAGTTTTAATGATTGACATTAAAAAAAATTTTTTTTTAAAGTAAAGACACAGTTACTGTCTCTAACTACTTTTCTTCCAGGTAAAATTGTATTGAGAAAGGAAGGAGCCTTGAGAGAGAAGAGGGGGGGAAACCCCGGGTCCTGTGTCGGCCCCAGTTCTGGGGAGGCTGGGCCAGGGCAGCGGTTGGCCCTGGGCTGGGGGAGGAGCCCTGACAGGCAGTAGAAGGTTCTCTGAGTTCTCCGGGTGCACTCTCTAAATGTGTCCCAGCTGTGGGACCGCCCCCGGCAGACGTGGTGGAGCCTCTGTCTGTTCTCATGGCCACCCTGGGGCTGAGACTGCAGGGCATGGCTGTGCCCCAGCAGCCAAATTCTCTCCAAATGCTGAGGCGGGGGTGGTGGGGTAGGTGAGTAGGGGGCAAGGAGCAAATTGTTTCCTGTACCAGGTGGCCTCAGTTAGACTTAAACACGGAGGCTGCCTGGCATTGTGGGGAAATCTTTGTGTTTCGTCAGCTAAGCGTGGGCTTGCATGCTACCCTGTCACTTCCTTGGGTAAGTGTGGACGGTGGATCTTTTGCTTCATCTCTCTGCATCTCTCTGCATTTGCTCTCCTGAGGACCAAATGCAGTGATTGATAGGAAATGCTTGGCACACAGAAGGTGTTCAGTCCTCAGTCTCCCCCCTCCTTTCTTTCAGGGCGGGAATGGCTCCCCTCCAGCATCTCCAATGTGCTGGGCACATAATTGATTTTTAGTAATAACCTGACAAGTGACTCACAAACTGGGCTTCTGTCTAATAGGCTGTTCCTAAAGCTAAATGTTTATAAAACTCTGATGGACACTCTGCAAAATGGAAGCGCTGGGGACAAGGGGAGGCTAAGTACCATCCACAGCCTGGGCAGAGTCAGACTCACATCGAGCTGGGTTACGCCACGAAAATGTGTTCTTCTCCAGGCCAAAGGCTGGGATGCCGAGTGGAAAACCAGCCCTTGGTGAGAGCTGACAGGTTTTCTGGAAACAGGGCTGCTTAGACTAATTCCTGAGTGACAGCGGCCTCGGCAGGCTCTGGACCCAGGAGTCCCCAAGGAGGAGCCCAGCAGAGAGCCAAGCAGCCCTGCCTCCCTCCCGGCTCCCAGCTTCCTCTGTCCCCGGGGGCGGCACACTCCCTCCCCTGGTCTGTGTGACTCACTTCCTTGTCAGGCCCAGAGCTGCTGGTGGAAGCTGGGCCCACAGGAAGCAAGATGGCCAGGGGGGCCGCCTCCCAGCCATGAGGTGAAATGAAACACAACACATGCTCACGGAGCACCCCGGATGCACGTCCTTTGGAAAAAAGGAGCAAGCGTGAGGGCAAGTGGAGCCATTTTATCCTTTTTATTATATACAATATTAAGGCACACGTTTAAGCAGCAAAGAACAGGAAAATCTTTGGCTGACCAACAATATCGGCACTCTCTGGGGGACACACTCCATGTTCTTGGACTCCCCCCCCACCCCCCCAGGCGTACACAGAGACCCATCTGGCCGTGCAGCTCTGGACGCCCAGGTCCGCATAGGCTGGCAGACCAACATGCCCACACGTCGCACCCGAGTCTGCTGGAGAGCACAGCATGCTGCCACCGAGCACAGAGACACACATGGAAAGGCGAAAGGCGGAGGTGCCGGTGCGGTCCGCGTCCTGGCCGACCCCTGCAGGCACCTGCCCTTCCCACAGAATTCCCCAGGCTCTGCAAGTGCCTCGTGGAGGAGGAGGAGGAGGAGGAGGTCCCCCTGCCACTCCTCAGAGGGGAAAAAAACACCTTCACACAAAGAAAACCACCGTGGGTACGTCTGTGTACGTTCTGTTCTTGTGATAAATACTTACAGGCAGGTGTCTAGATGGGAACAGAATCCTAGACAACGTCACATGTAAACACACCACTGGGCACCAAAGCTTCCGGGGCTGACACAAGAAAAGGCTGGGTGTAGGTACTTCATTTATACTGAGGGCCATATTTTAATTTTGCAACAAAGCCAAGTCTCACGACAAACACCTCGCTCAGAGCATAACACTGGACAATAACATGCGCTTAGTATACACGGCTCTACAGGGCGCCTACTGGAGTCTAAGCCAATGGCTACGCGCTTACATCCGCGTGTGTGCGGGGATGGGAACACGTACAAGGCCTAGCGAGAGAACAGATTTAAAAAATGAATCCACGAGCCGAAACCGGTTTGGCTCAGTGGATAGAGCGTCGATCTGAGGACTGAAAGGTCCCAGGTTCGATTCCGGTCAAGGGCATGTACATTGGCTGTGGGCACATCCCCAGTGGGGTGTGTTCAGGAGGCAGCTGATCGATGTCTCTCTCTCATTGATGTTTCTGGCTCTCTATCCCTCTCCCTTCCGCTCTGTAAAAAAAATCAATAAAATATATTTAAAAAAAAGTGGATCCACGAGAAGTTACACAGACTCATGGCGGCTGTCCTCCTTAGAAGGGGTCACTTACAGGCGCTCTTGGAGTCCAACGACTCACCCCAAGGAACATCTTAGGGGTTTCATGTGTGTGTGTGTGTGTGTGTGTGTGTGTGTGTTTGTGTGTGTGTGTGTTTAAAGCTAAAATGGTGTGACTTACCTTAATCACACATCTTTATTTATCCAACTGAGTGAATGACTTGGGATTATTTCCAAACCTAAGTCCATCTTCCAAAGGACGAAGCTCTCTCACGTCCAAGGATAGTGACATGAACACGCCAGTCCCAAAGCCATACCCACAGAGGTGTTCGTTCACACCAGGTTCTCCGTGGGCAGCGCGGCTGCGGCCAGGACAGAGCCTCCCAAAGGGCCGCCTTCTGAGGAGGGCGAGGTGAGAGGCAACACTTGGATCGTCTGGATTTTCAGAAGAGAAACCCAACCCACCACCTTACAGTCAGACCTCACGTGTGGGCACCTACACATACATGTGTCTTTATATGTCATTGAATGACTGCACTGGAGAAGGGTTTGCCGCTGAAAGGAAGGGGAGGAAACTGCTCATGGGTTCCGGAGGAAATCCATGCACTGAAATGCTGACCTTTCCCGGCTCCCAGCGGATCAGCTTCTGGCAACTTTTTTTTTTTTTTCTGGCAACTTTGTAATTCCTCCGCCCATCTCCCACGGAGCCACATGTCGGAGGCAAACCCATCTCCCTCCTCACACTGAATGAAGATGCTTTAAATTCATGGACGAACTAACCAGAAACGAGGAAAGGAGACCAACATGTATAAAGCACAGACCAGTGGTCGGCAAACTCATTAGTCAACGGAGCCAAATAGCAACAGGACAACGACTGAAATTTCTTTTGAGAGCCACGTTTTTTAAACTTAAACTTCTTCTCATGCCACTTCTTCGAAAGAGACTCGCCCAGGCCATGGTATTTTGTGGAAGAGCCACACTCAAGGGGCCAAAGGGCCGCATGTGGCTTGAGAGCCGCAGTTTGCTGACCATGGGCATACACCACAACGGCCTCCGGTTTGGGATGGGAAGAATGCCCTCTGGCTACTGACAGCGTTCACCATTTCAGAACCCCGAAGGCTCCCGCTCCCGCTGGCCAGGGCCGCAGGCCCCTTCGCTCTGGAGCACAAGGTCATTCGGAGGGCACAGAAGCAAGCTCCAGGACTCCGGTTTTGGGAGACACACCTCTTTGCCCACGGAGCTCCCCCTAGGATGTGCGCCAGCCTCCTGCCTGGACACCTTTTAAACCCCAATGCCTTCCTCACCCTCCTGGGGACCCGGCCTCCCCTGACGGCTGTGCTCACACCAGGCTCAGAAGGCTGCTGCCCGGGAGAGCTTGTCCGCCCAGCAGCGCTCGCTGTGTAAAGGCCACTGCCTGGCGAGGACCCAGGTGGCTGAGGGCAAAGCACAGGGAGAACCAACCGGTCTCTGGAAGGTGGGCTTCTCTGCAGGGGCGTCCTGACAGCCTCTCCCCCGAGCAGCAGAACCCCCGAGCTGCTCCCGTCCACAGCTCATGGGGAGCCACCACCGTCTGGATACCCGGCCCACGCCCTGTGCCGTCAGGTGCACCCAGGAGCCCAGAGAGCGAGTCCGCAGGACTGCAGAGGGGAGGCCCTGCCGCCCGGGGTCTCCAGCCAGAGCCCCATGCCTGCTTGGAACCGCTGAACGCAACACCGTCACTAGCCAAGACGGAGAAGTTAGCTGCAGGAATCCGGCCGCACCCCCTAGTCCGCGCAGCACCCCAGCCAGGCGGCACACAGAAGCTGCCACTCATGCTGAAAAAGGAAGAGAACTGCTCTGCACGCCTCCACCCAGAGCCAAAGCCTTGTCCTTCAGGCGACAGGGCCTGCGAGCTCCACCATCAGACACCGCCGGGAACTGCCCACCACGTCCGGACCCTGCACAACACGTGCTTCTTGGATGGATGTACAGCTAAGCTTATAACGGGACAGAAACATTTCCATCTATGCCTAGGCTAGGTTTATGGGCAATGCTAGGTGCTCTGGGCCACTCCTGTTTCTTACCCCACAGAGCCCTGGGGAGGAGACGCCACGCTCTGTGCAGGAGCTGACGTGAGGGAGAAAGAAGCCAGGGCCGCGCTCCTCACACAGGCCGTGCATGAGCGGCTGCGGGGAAGGCCGCAGCCAGGAGGCCAGCCCGGAGCTCTGTCCCGCTGGCCTCTGTGACACACAGCAGGAGCGTTGACAGTTCAGACACTGCTCTGTGAATCTCAGACCTACTCTGCCGCGCTTCACTTAAAAACGAAGGAAAAAAGAAGAATAAAATGAAAGAAAACTAAGCAAAGACAACCATGAAGTCGGGAGGATGAGCACCAAGATCAAAACGCTCCCCGTCTGTTCAGAACACACTGCCTCGGGTCCACTCACGCGAGGAAGCCCCACAATCGCCTGCAAAACCCAAACCCAACAGGTCATCCGACGAGGACCGGAAGGTCGCCCCTCAACATTTTCATCTCATCGCCACGGCCGCACACACTCACAGACCACCCCCGGGGGGCACAGGCGGTGTTACATCACACCCAGACGGGCTCCCGGGGATTTCTAGGATGTTCTTAAACAGATGCTCACCGCCAAGGAGAAGGGGGGTATTCCAAGGACGATTCCGGTTCAGGTTTATCTGTTTATAACCAGAAAATGGGTACTGTACACAGACCCTCCCCCAGGAGATACATTCTCTGTACACTGGAAAAGTCCATTTCCTATTTCTTCTTCGTTCCCAAACCTACATGCGTCGTCTCTCTGCCACCCTATGCGATAAGAATCCACAGCGTTCACTCCGTCTTCCTTCGTGTAGGTCTCCTGGTTGGTTTTTTTGTTTTTGTTTTTTTTTTTAAACATTTATAAAAAGTGTTCTTATGAGTCTGGAGTCTTTATCAGTTCAAATCACACCTGGTTTCCATCTACCACCTTCCCGATCGCTCTTCTTGCTCGTGCGGCTCCCGGTGGCGCGCTCCTTCCCGCCTGTCGCCGTCCCGCACGGCGTCCCCCGGGGGCGCGGCCTAGATGAGGACCTCCATCATCTCCGGGTCCGGGAACTCGGGCTTGTGCAGCAGGCTGCTGGCGCGGCCTTTGTGGTCCAGCGACTTCCCGGGGCCAGGAGAGCTCTCTGCCAAACACAGGGGAAGCATCAGCACCCGCTCCTCTCCTCGGGGGCCGGCCGCACCGGGGGTCCCTGCGGGACCCTTTGGGACCCCACCCTCGCCCCCCAGGGCATGCAGGCAAGGCTCCAGAGCCCGGCCCACGTGGGGCAGACGCGTCTCCCACATCCCTGTCTTCCTCCAGGAGTCAGATCTCAGAACAATGGCAGTGCTGTATACACGTGCCTCTTTCGTAGGGTGAACAGTTCATTTATGCCCCAAATAAATCACCCCACGCTTCCTCAAAAGCATTCCTGAAGGGACCTCGCCCTGTGACTAAGATTAGTGCCCACAGCAAAGCCAAGTCTACTCTTTCCCGGGTGCTTCTGGACTCATCGCAAGCTGCCTCCTCCCGAGTCGTCTTCTCCTAAATGTTTTCAGGTGGCCCATTGGTGCCGGCCTGAGTGCCGTGCCCGAGTTCCCTCCTCTGCAGTTAAACCTGCCTTGTCCTTCAGGAAGGAGGCACCCCTGACCCCAAATCCTTAACGAGGAAGGCCCCGTCTAGGCACCCCAGCCTCAGAGGCACCGGGTGCCTGGTACTGCCCCCCCCCCCCCTACACACACACATCCCGCTTGGAGCACGTCTATTTCTGCCCCTTGTAGGAGAGGGCTGGTGACAAAGCACAGTAATAAATTAGGAGTGCCTACTCACATTTCATTCCATACGAGCGCACGGCCTAGGTGTATTAGGGTAACCATAGACATAAAAAAAACAGCCACCAAGTGGGGGCTGCCCCCTCCCCAGCTCCCTCTCCCAGGCCAGAGAGCCCCCGGGTGTTTCCCTACAGCGCCAAACCCCAGAGCATCTCACCCAGCTTCTCCGCGGCCCCTTTGGCCGCTGGGTGCTTCAGGACGGGGCTGTTGGAAGGGGTCACGCTCAGCCGGCCGCGGGTGGGCAGGGAGGCCATGTTGGGCCAGAAGAGTTCGGTGCTCTTGTCCGTCTGGGTGCTGCTGTCTTTGCTGCCTGTCTTGGCGTGGGCGCTGCTGGCCGATGTGGCGGGCAGGGCAGCCAGTGCGGGGGTGGACGAGGGCTCGTGGTGCTCCTTCCCCAGCAGCAGCCCTGGGGACGGAAGGACAGCTTTTCAAAGCCCCTCTTTTGTACAAACAGAAGCCCGAGTCAAGGAGGCTCAGGACTGCTGTATTTGCTACTGATTCACTCATCAAACGCACTTACAAGCACTATGTGCCTGACCAGTTGAGAGGCACTGAGGAAACTTAAAAATGGAGAAGAGCTAGGCCAGTGGTCAGCAAACTCATTAGTCAACGGAGCCAAATGTCAACACAACAACGATTGGAATTTCTTTGGAGAGCCACATTTTTTAAACTTAAATTTCTTCTAGTACCACTTCTTCAAAATAGTCTTGCCCAGGCCGTGGTATTTTGTGGAAGAGCCACACTCAAGGGGACAGAGAGAGCTGCATGTGGCTCGAGAGCCGCAGGTTTTTTAAATATATATATATATATATATATATATATATATATATATATATAATGTTTTATTGATTTTTCAGAGAGGAAGGGAAATAGAGTTAGAAACATCAAAATGAGAGAAACATTGATCAGCTGCCTCCTGCACACCCCCTACTGGGGATGTGCCCTCAACCAAGGTACATGCCCTTGGCCGGAATCAGACCCTGAGTCCACAGGCCTATGCTCTATCCACTGAGCCAAACCGGTTAGGGCTCAAGCCACAGTTTGCCAACCACGGACCTAGTCCCCTCCCTAAAAATCTAAGAGTTGTAAACTGCTTATAACCTAATCTGATAAACTGTAGGATAAAATTACTCTAAATGGCACGAGGTACCCCGTACCCAGTGCCGAGGGGTGGGGGTTCCTGGACGGCTGTCTGGAGTCCACGCTTGCTCGGCCTCACGCACGGCCGGGGAGGGCTGGCCTCGAGTCGTGGTGTGTGCCTTAGAGGAAGGAGTCTCCCCGGCCCTGGGCAGGGCCCCACGGGCCTGCTGGGCTTCTGAACGGCCCACACTTCCACCCCCGTCTTGGTCCTGGACGGTCTCCTGCAGCACCAGGCTCAGATACAACCTCGTTTCCAGGTCAGACCCACACACCAAGGAGCCCCAGCAGCTGAGAGCCACGGCCCGAGAAGCAGGAAACCAGCCGGGCCCCTGGGAGGAGCCACAGGGCCGCTCCTCAATCAGGGCCCGGGGGGTACGCAGGAGCGAGGACGTGCTGGACGGAAAAGGCAGGCACAGTGGGCAGTGCTTTCCCTCCACCTCAGCGTCTCCCTGCAGGGCTGGCCGGACAGCTACGCTTTTATTTTAAATAATGAAATACGGCACACATTCAGAAACATGCCAGCACTCCCGAACACTAGCCTATAGAAGACGTGGTCGGCACAGTCAACGGCTTGTTCACGCAGCCGAACCAGCCAGCAATTCACAAAGTGTAGTGTGTATGTGTGTGTGTGTCCACCCTTTCTGCCCCCACCCCCCACCCCCCCGCCGAGCTGTCGGAGGTGCCCAGAGCAGCTCCGTGTGCACAGCTGCGTTCTCCAATGGCACGCGCCTCCTGGTGGCTTGGATGTGTTGTCATCAGCGGGTGGGGCCTGAGGCTGCTTCTCTAACAAGCTCCCGGGTGAGGCCCGTGAGGCCGGTCCACAGGCCACGCTCGGAGTGGCCGGGGGCTCCACACTCATCACCTCCCTTTGCATTTCACAGCAGCGCTCTGAGACAGGCCCCGTGTTTTCCGCTGCTTTACAGACACGGAGACGGCAGCTCAGAGACGTGAGCATCCCACAGCTAAGAAGGCGCAGAAATGGGGTTCAATCCCAGCTGTGCCCACCTCTGCGCCAACCTGTGTTTTTCCCTCCTGACCAGGAGGACAGGGATGCTTTCGTGGGACTAGGTCACTGGCCGGTCGTCTCCCCCTCCCCCACACCCTCAGCAGGGCCAACACTGTCACCCCCACCTCCTCCCAGGGCCTGTTGGGCAAGCGATGGTGGAAGCGGCGTGGGGACTGTGCAGTGGCCGTGTCTGCTGCCTCTGCCCGCCTCTCAGAGAGCCTCTCTGGTTTTGTGACGCATGGACACCGGTGACAATGGCAATAAGGGGAGGAACGCAGTGCAGAGAACACAGCTCAGACCCGGCCCGTTCCCAGGCCTGGTGTAGATATGCAGATGGCAGGGGCACAGGCACAGAGACCAGAGAAACGCCTGCCGGGCTGCATGTCGCAAACGGACTCTCGGGCTCCCTAATTGTGTGGGGAGCTAAGTGTCCTGGGGGGATTGGGGGCGCTTTTGATGATCCTCGCTGCTGTCCACCCACGTCCTCTTTGAAGTTCATGTCCTCGGAGGGCAGGGGCTGCTGAGGCCACCTGTGGAGGCACTGCACAGGGAGAGTCTGGCTGGGAGCCTTCATCCCCCCCAACTCTGGCAGGTTCCTACTAGAAGCTATATATTCCCTCTGGCACAAAGCAGCCAGGCTCCTCAGGGGCTCTGTGCTGACAAAAACTGGCTCTCGGCTCCACAGATAAAGAAAACACACTCTGACCCAGGGAAATGCATCAAAGGAGGCAAGGCCAGGTCCTGCAGCTGCCAGAGTGCGAGGGAAGGGGGGGGGGGGTGGGAAGTGTGTCTGGGAATGCTGCCTGCTTCCTCTCCAGACTCAGCCAGCCGTCGACAGGCTGGCCCTCGCCCCAGGAAACCCACTCGTGGCTGACACCACCTCTGCAGAATTCTCAAAACTCTGCCCGTGCAACAACCATGCTACCAGCACCACAGCCACCAGCCTCTCATGCTCGCACACGTCCTCGGGAGCGCCTCCGCCCCGTTATCTCGTTTTGCCCTCACCACGGCCCAGGGGCAACAGGACAGACACAGAAGCGGAGGCAGAGCCGTCTTACAGCTGGTCGGGGGCAGAGCCAAATTCAGAGGCCTGATTCTATGGGCTTTTCCATTTTATGTTGTGAGGGTCGGGCACTTGCACTTTCAACCGTGACGATAATCGCATGAGTCAACCCGTGGTCCATGGCCGATCTGGCTGTACAGCCGCTGCTTCCCCATCGCTCATTCATTCATTCAACTTTCACAGCCAAAGAACGATTGGTTATCCTCCCCACTTCACAGATGGGTAAACCGAGGCTTGGAAATATTCAGCGGCATCTCTGTGTCCCATGAGGGGCAGAGCCAGACACCACACAAGTGTCAGGACTTTTCCCACCAGATGAGGTTGCCCTCCAAGCTGGTGCCGCTCTTGCCTTCCAGACCCCAGACCCCCGGGCCCGATGGCGGCGTGGGGCTCACCTATGCTCCCCTTCCAGGTCCTCTCTTCCTTCTTCTCCTCCGCCAACTGGCTGCTGGTGAGCGAGGTCTGGCGGGAGTGCGTCCCCGTGGCCGCGGCAATGGAGGGGACGGAGCGGGCGGGCCGCAGGCTCGAGGAGTCCGCCTTCCCGGCGTCTTTGCGGGATCGCTGCTGCAGGACCTTGATCATGGCGTCCCTCTCGATGATCTTGGCGTGGAGGTTTTTAATGCTGCGTAACAAACAGAACACAACAGGGGTCATCACACTCCATCTGGGCTAGGAAAACACGAAACGGTTTTTCAGGTGGCCCGGGGACTTGAATTAGAATTCAGGATGGAGAACAAAGCACAGTGAAGTCCTCAAACGTTTATAATCTGCCAAGGTGTGTAGGCTGGGTCTCTGGTGGTAGATCAGAGTGGGGAGCACCTCCTCTGGTCCCTCGGAGCCTCTGGGACTTGCTGGGACCCCCCAGGACACAGATGCAGGTGTGGCCTCCCAGCAGAGGCTCAGAGGCCGGCTCAGAGGGCTGGTCTCTGCTTGGGGGAAAGGGGGAGGGAGAGCAGCTGGAAGCCTCACTCAAGGTCAGCCTTCCCCGGAAGTCAACTTCCCTAATTTCTCAGAAAGTCAGAGGATGAACAGGTTTTCTGGGAGAAGTTAATTCCCCCCCCCCCCCCCCCCAAAAAAAAAGGCCAAAAATAAGAATCAGAAAACAAGTTCTTTTCAAACTTGGGAGAGTAACTCGCCCGCCTGCCTGTCAGCTGTTCAGAACCGGGGCTGGGGCTGGAGTGTGAGCCCCAATGTGAGCTCGGGGGTCGTGGGGTGCGTGGCCAGGGTGGAGCGTGGCGTCTCGGCCGCCCGCGCGGCTGTCCTTACGTGTACTCCATGTCCTGGCACCTCCGGGCGGCCTGCACCACCTCCTCCTCCTCCTGCCAGATGTGGGCCTCCAGCGAGGCCTCGCCGTAGCTGCCGTTCCGCGAGTGGTTGATGATCGTCGTGTCCCTGGCAACACGGGACACACACACAGAGTGATGCGAACGCTCACAGAGAGGCGTGCGAGCGAGCGAGGTCACCGCGCTAAACACCTCTCCCCACACACCCCTTCCCCCACCTTCCCTCCTGGATCCTGGCCCAATCGCTCCCCCCACTTGGTAGAACGAAGACAGTATCTAAGGAAAACAAAATAAAACCCCAGAGTAACCATTCCCTGCCCTCCGCCAGCACCACCGTGCACCACGAGCGCTCTGAAGGGACGCTGCACCTGCTGACAGGTGGATTCTACTACTCTCGTTGTGAGGGTCTCTCTGTCACGCTTACGTATCCTTTCTGACTTTCTCCATCGGGGCTGAAGTTGTATGGCTGCTCCTCATTCACCCAGCAGCCTTTTCGGTGTTTTACAGTGAAATGGAGACTCGGTAAATATGGTACTTAAAGCGGATACTGGTCCTCTTGGGCAGAGACGCTCAGGCTGAAAGCGCCCATCCTGCTTGCTTCCTCGCTCACTTCTCGTTTCGTGGGCCCCTGCCTGGGATTCAGATCCACTTGGCTGACTGCCATGCCGGCAGCACAGCCGAGAGGTGGCAGCACAGCCAAGAGGTGGGACACATCCTGTCCTTAAAAGGGCAGCGCCGGGGTGGGGGAAAGGACAGGAGGGACGGACATGGGGAGATTAAAATGTGGAGCTGTGCCGAAACCAGTTTGGCTCAGTAGATAGAACCTCGGCCTGCGGACTGAAAGATCCCAGGTTCGATTCCGGTCAAGGGCATGTACCTTGGTTGCGGGCACATCCCCAGTTGGGGGTGTGTAGGAGGCAGCTGATCAATGTTTCTCATCGATGTTTCTAACTCTCTATCCCTCTCTCTTCCTCTCTGAAAAAAATCAATAAAATATATATAAAAAAATAAAATGTGGGGTGCAAGCTGGTGTCTGATGGAAAACAGCTGGTCAAAGAGAACTCTTCCTGCCACTAGTTTTGGCAACTCGATCACTCCTCAGCAATGACTGCTGGTGAGAATAAGAGAACTGTGCCCTGGCCGGTGGCTCAGTTAGTCAGAGCACCATCCCGATACACGAAGGGTGTGTTGGTTTGATGCCCATTAAGGGCACATACAAGAATCAACCAATGAGCTCGGCCAGCGTGGCTCAGTGGTTGAGCCGTCCGACTATGAACCAGGAGGTTTCACTGAAAGATCGAACAGTATCCCGCTGTGTGGATGCACTTTACCTGGCGGAGTGAAACCCCGTGGGGCCCCCGGCTGGCCTCACCTCTCGGCTGCGGCAGTGGCTGCGGCGTTCATGGCAAAGTGCCGGATGGTGCTCTCCTCCAGATACTTCTGCTCCCACTTGGTCATGTCGGCCTCCAGGGCCAGGATCCGCTCCTCCTTCTCCCTCACGAGCTCCATGAGGGCCGGGGCATTGTATTCCAGCGTGCTGGCTGGCGGGCCGTTCCCATGTTTCTAGAGAAGCAGAGGGAGAACATCTTGATGAGAAATGGGAGTTAGAAAGCAGACCACACTGACCGTGTCTTCTGCAGAGCTACCAGCATGGAGCACACAGACTTTGCCCAGGTCCCCAGCTCGTCCACACCCGTTACCATCCCACTCTCGCTCCCTCTCCAAGAGAAATGACCAACCTTAGCAGATCCTAACACCAAGCCACCTCACCTACCAAATCCCTGTCTCGATGAATTGTCATGTAACTTTATTATATGAGTAGACAACATTATCCCAATTATACAGAGGAGAAAACTAAGCTTCAGGGAGGTTAAATGAACTGCTCCATGTCTCTGAGCTACAGCAGGGTCAGGATTCAAACCATGTCTGTCAGGATTCAAACCATGTCTGTCTGTCCATATGCTTCTGCATGACAAGAAGTGGCTTGCCCAACGCCCTGCAGTTCATTTATACCAGAAGCAAGTGCGGTAACTACTAAGTCTTGGCCTTCTGGTTGGGGCACTTTCTCCCGAGTGCTCAGAAGTGACTCCAGGTTTTTTTCCCCTCCCCGAGGCCGGGAGATAAAACGGAAAGGCCCAGGCACTGGAAGCGAGGAGCCCTGACACACGTGCTCTCCCGGCTGCAAAGCTCTCGTCTGGGAAACAAACGAATACCTGCCCCACTCAGAGGCCTGAGAGTCAGATAAGATAATGCATAGGAAAGCACTTAATAAGCTTTAAAGGGCTAGCCAAAGCCAAGAGCTGCCAGAAAGCCTGTAATGCAAGCTCAGCCCGTTCTTTTCATCCGGGTCTGTCAGACAAGGTATAAAGCGGAATATTCACATTCAGATTTTCCCCCTTATTGACTTCGGCATCCTATTTCCTCTAAACAGCACGACTTGGAGGACGGTGGGGTTTGAAGAGGTTCTGACTTCTGGGAGAATGACTTCATCCCAGGGAGTCTACATTCCCTCCGGTTTCCCAGGGGGGTCACACATTGTAAATGCAGAGCTGGTTGCAAGGTGAGAGGCACTCTGAACCACACACAAGTTCGACCAGGGGTGGGGCCAATGGTCCGTGGCCCCTCCCCCAGCCAGTCAGATGGGGCAGGCTGGGCCGGACCCCACCTGTGCACAAATTCATAGACCAGGCTTCTAGTATACTATAAAGTTTGGTCAGGCTCCTGCCTGGAGCCCATGGACGGTGTGGTGGGTGCAGGCCTACTAGCCCTCAGCCGGGACACCTGGAGTCCACTCTAGTCCGCTCCAGAGCCTGGGCCCCCCCCCGAGAAACTCGGACCTTCTGGGAAAGGTACCCAGGGGCCTCACTGACCAGCTTCCTCCTCATTCACTCTGCAGTGGCTCATGCATATGCTCGCCTGGACATGCCAGCCCACTGGCACCCCGATCCTCACTCCTGTGCTGCAGAGGCTTTTATCTGGCCCTTGTAGGAAGGTCACACTGAGGTCACATGGTAACAGAGCTCCTGGCCATATCCCACCCTCAACAAAGCCACTCCCCATAGGGCATTATTCTGAAGGGACCGTGGAGAGAGTAGCTCAGAGAACTTATTAAATCAAGACCCACACAGGGGCTCTGCCCTTAGACTGACGCCAGGACACAGCCTAACTTCTCCACCCTCATCCTTAACAACACACAGCCCCCACATGAGCTGAAGTTAATCTTGTGAGGTGTCCTGGGACCTCCCGACCGTGGGTAGATTGGAGGGAACATCCAGAATTGATTCACAGGATGACTCCCGGGTTAGACTGACCAGGGTGGAGGACTCCTGCCTGCTCCTCCTCCTAGGAAAGAGCCCTTGGGTAAGAGAGCTTTCTGAGCTTCAACTTCCCTGTCTCTAAAATGGGGCAGATACATTACGCTGATCTTACAGGTATTACCTCAGATAAGAAGATCCTCACAGTGTCCGAAACTGGGCAACTCGGTGAGAAAGAATAGTTGTCGTTGCTGTTTTATCATCGTGACCTTCAGAGTATGTGCAAGGCCTGGGGCATCCTGGCACCCTCTCCCCGATTCCTCCCTTACTCCGGCTTTTCCGGTCCCGCTGGGAAAGGTGACAGAAACGTGTTCCCTGTGGCATTCCCAGCACAAGGTGTACGAGCTCAGTAAATATTTGTTGGTCAACTGAACGGACAGCAGAAGCTGGCCCGCCTGCCCGTCGGCCCGTTTTCCGGGCTGGCCTGCTTGCCTGTTAGACTGTGCTATGCTGGAGTGTCTAAACTCCTGCTTTTATTGTAATAACTCTTCGTGATCTGAATCAGGTGCTCTATGCAGACTTGCCATGATCTCGTGTGTGTTCAAAATGATCAGCCAGCTGAGATGGGGACCTGAGGATTCAGAGAGAAACTGAGCAGCTTAGCAAGGCTGTGGGATTTTTTTCTTGGACCGTTTCTGAGCGCAAGGGAGCTCTTGTGTTGCTGGACCTGATGTCCTCCTGCCTGAGGCCAGGTGCTGGCTGCGGGAGTCATGACTTTCTGAGCAGGTGGATGAGGACAGGTGCATGCCTTCGCTCTGTTCCTGACTGAATGTTAGCCACTGACCGAGATCCTAGCATAATTGGTATTTGTAGCTTTAAAAACCTGAACACAAACATATGGTTTACAAAAGCCCGTGGGCCCATTGCTCTTTCTTCTCTGTCAGGATGAGACTCCATCAGGGTGGTTGGCCCTACCCCTGGCCGAACTCCCTGTTGAACTCCCAAGTCAAACTCCCAGTCGAGGGGACAATTTTCATATTAGCCTTATATTATATAGGATATCACATGGAACTAGCTAGAAACTCAAGGTTTTGGGGTGAATTTATTTGTAATAAAACTTTTACCTTTTTTTGGTTATAGAATAATGTATGCTCACTGACAGAATGTTAGAATAAAGAGGTATTAAAGAAAACCACAAAAAATATTACTCATCTTTTTAACGAGTAGGCAAAACAACAAGGAAATTAAGTATCTTCCATATCATAGGGGACGGATTAACACACTCATTTAAAAAAAACTGGTATTATTTTTAAAGAGATGCCGAGATAAACAAAGTTCTGTTTAACGATAAAGATCGTCTTCCCCGCTTTTTGGTCTCATGTCAGCCATAACCAGCAGGGGGTCTGCTGTCAGTCCCCAAAACTAGATCCAAAATGCAAGCCAAGTAATTTCCGCAGAGAACCTCTGCCCCCAACCCCCGCCCCCCCAGGTGTGCCCAGATCTGCCAGCAGCTGTTAGGCATGGCAGGGACCCGTTTCTGCCTGGCTTAGGAAGCAACGGGCATGAGGGTGTGTGGCTCTAAGTCCTCTGTGGCAAGGAATATTTTTCAAATCACTCTGACCTCACTTTTCTCTTGGTACACAGCAAGGACAACGGGGTTGGGCCTGGCTTCACAGCATCCAAAATAGAAAGTCCCAGGATAAGTCACCTGACTATAGGGGCTGGGGGCACAGTAACTAGAAGCAAACATTCTTTGCAGCGCTGAGTTTTGAGATGTGCCCGTTTTGTCAGCCAAGGGTTCGTGAGGATTACTGGTGTCAGTGTGGTGCCAGCATCTGAGAAGCTGGTCCCCCAGTGGAGAGGGTCAACCTCAGTAACTGCAGTAACTCAGGAAACAGCTGGAGGGTGGCCCACAAGCCAAGGAAGGCGGCCCAGGGTGGACGGGGCAGCAGTCCAAAGACAGACTCACCCTTCCTTACGAGCCACCAACTCAGCCAAGATGGTGGGCGGCCGGGTGGGCTCCTTAACGTTCTGGGCGATCTCACCGACACCTCCTCTGCCCGCCAAGCACACACGCCCGGGAAACAGGGGCGCCAGCATGAGAAAGGGTGGGGCCGGCCCGCGTGTGCGCTTTCAAGCGTTTCCAAGTCTCTCACCCACAACCACTGTGCCGCACCCAGCAGGTCATTCCACGGAGCCGTCCTGCATTCCCTGGTTCCCGACTGAGGCCGCGCCCTTCATCGCTGCAGCGAGGGCTTTGCCCACCGCACTGGCCAACGGCCATGGCCAGGCGCTCGCTGAAGCCGGAGTCTGCCCGCCTGGGCGGCTCCCAGTCCAGCCACAGGGCCGTCCTGCAGGCCTGTCCCCTAGCTGAGGTGCACGGAGCTGGGCTGGGGAATTCTACTTGAGCTTATTCATGGCTGAGTTACGCTAGCTGCCGCCACCAGGATAAGACAAGGCAGAGGATCCGGAGCTTACGGCCAATATCACACTCCAGGGATCCATCGTCCTGAACTCCTTCCCCTCCTCGGGACATGCACTGATGGTCAGTCCTACTAATCTCACTCCTGCTCGCTCCGCCTGGATTCCCACTGCCACTCCCCCCTGATGACACCAACAGCCCTCGGGCCGGCCTGCTCGTCGCATTCTGCCCTCCAAGACCCTCCCAATACCCCCAGAGCACTCTTTCCCCAACCCTGTGCACCACATTCCTCTCCAGTGGAAAAACTCCTATCGTTGGCCCTGCTGTTACAGGACAAAGCCCCGTTCCTCACCGGGACCACATGCCTTCCCCTGCTGGCCTCACCTCTCCGGCGTTCCCCCCCACCAGTTGCACCCCACTGTCCTGAACTGCCTCACTCATGACACATACCCTTCCTCTTCTTCTGATGTTCTCCCCAGAACCCACCCCCCCCCAAAAAAAAAACCCCCTCATCTTTCCAAGTCCAACTCAAATGTCCGCCTCTGTGAAGCCGTCTGAAGCCACATTCCCCGATGCCCAGCCGCCTTCTGTGAGGACATCACTCCATTGAGTGGACTGCCCGTCCTCCACTGGCCGCTGTGCTGGCTCGCTAGGGCAGGGAGTTCTCCTTGACCCCAGCACTCCCAGTGCCGGGAGCAGAGCCTCGTGTGCATCCTGCCCTCTGTCGGCGCCTCCCCCAGTCCCGCACCTGCTGGGTCCTCAGGGCATCCAGTTCTCGCTCCAGCCAGGTCCGAAGTCTGCGCTCCATCTGCTCCCGCTTCTCACATGCAGACTGCAGCTGGGTCAGCGCCTGCTGCAGCTTCTCCACCTTCTCCACGTAGGCTTGCTTCTCTCGTAACTGAGCAGAGGGAGAAAGGAGCCCAGGATTGGACCAGCGGTTCTCAGCACTGGGTGGAGGGAGACCGGACTTAAACCACCAGGGCATGTGTCCTCCACTCCTCCCACTCCCGTGAGCTGGCACAGCAAAGGGTTAGACACGGCAGCCGGTTGTACCTCACGTGGCTGGGATGCTAGGAATCCAGATCCTACTGGGGCACCTGCCTGCAGTTATTGGTACAGCTCTGAGCTCAGTCCTTGGTTACTGCTTAGTAATACAGCATTTGCTGGCATTGGAAATGGGGTTAAGAGTTTTTAATGTTATGAGGAAATGCTTCCTCTACAATGTTAACTGAAAAGTCCAGAATAAAAAATTACATACAACATTATCACAACTCTATCTAGGAAGAAAAAAGACAGAAAGGAAATACTTAAAAGCACTAACCAGCCCTGGTCAGTTTGGCTCACTGGGTTAGAGCATCGGCCTTTGGACTAATTTCTGGTCAAGGGCATGTAACTCAATTGCGGGTTTGATCTCAGACCCCAGTTGGGGGGAGTGCAGGAAGCAACAAATAGATGTGTCTCTCTCACATCAACATTCTCTCTCTCCTTCTCAATAGAAAAAAATATCTTCAGGATTAAAATATCTTTAAGGATTAAAAATCAATAAAAATAAAAGCACTAACCATGTTTATATGTATGGCTGAATAAACATTTCTCATGTTCTTTATTCTCTTGTGTATTTTTCAAATTCTCCATAATAATTATAAATTACTATTATAATAGAGAATTGTGTGTGTTTATTCACACGTGTGCCCAGGTGTATGTATGAATAAAGATCAAAATTGCTCATTCTAAGTAATTGTGGAGTAACTTTCTCCTAAAAGTTTGAGCCTTTACAGATGAGTAGCTGACAGCCCTGAAGAGGTCAGAGTGCCTGAACACCCAACACAACCACTGAGGAGATGGAAATTAAGGTAAAAATGACCTTTGGAAACATCACATCCACTATAGATTGAGAATCCTGATGAACAATTTCAAATTCTTACCCTCAGACTTAGTTTTCTTCCAGTGACAGTTTGGGCCGTGAGCATGAATCCTAGGCATTTCTAACTTTCTGGGAAGTGGCTGGTGTCAAAATCAGGCCGAGGCACTCACTTATCTGGTCCTGAGTGGGGAGACCAGATGCCATATCCTGTTATTAGCATCTGGGCGTGCACATGCCTTGCAGGTGACTCAGATCCTGGGTTTAACCCCTGACTGCACTGGCAAGGGGGAACGTGCTGGGATTTAAGAGCTGCTGTGAGGGGTGTTCTCACTTAGCAGGCTGCACTGCCCTGAGCTAAGGCAGAGCCACTGGAATAAAATGGAGGTGCTTCCGATCTTTCAAGGGGATGGCAAAAACAGCAATTTTATTTATTATTATTTAATATATATATATATATTTAAAATATATTTTATTGATTTTTTACAGAGAGGAAGGGAGAGGGACAGAGAGCTAGAAACATCAATGAGAGAGAAACATCGACCAGCTGCTTCCTGCATACCCCCTACCGGGGATGTGCCCGCAACCAATGTACATGCCCTTGATGGGAATCAAACCTGGGACCTTTCAGTCCGCAGACGGATGCTCTATCCACTGAGCCAAACAGGTTTCGGCTAAAAATATATATATTTTTTTTATTTCAGAGAGGAAGGGAGAGGAGAGAGAGATAGCCTGGATAGCTCTCATTTATCTTTGTATCAACCTTAAGCCTAGCAAGGAGTATATTATGATGAAGATGGTTATAGTAACAATAATTACATCAGCCAACATTTTTAAAGCACCACCATGCCACGTTTTGTGCTTTATAAGTAGTATCTCATTATTATCTCAGTTTAAGAGATGAGGAAACTGAGGACGAAAGAGGTCAAGTGACTGCTCAAGGTTGCAGAGCTGACACATCCGCCCAGGGGCCACAAAGCTCACTCATTGCAGTCTGGCCCGAGAGTCCCAGCTCTGACCATCCTGGGGAGGCTGGGAAGCACACACAGGAGCCATCTGGACTGAATAAGGCCCTTCAGATGGAACCTTAATAAGAACAAGGAGTGCGTCTGGGAGCCAGACACGGACATTCTGGAGAGGACACACACAATCAAAGGCCTTCTATGGATACAATGACAAGAAAAGATCCACAATGGTGATCAGAAAGAACCTGTCTCCAAGGACTTCACAGCTTTTACTTTCAGAGAAATAAAATTTTAAAAAAAGATTAAAATTTTATAACTTTCCTTTGTTCCTCACATGGAGGAGGAGCCTCACTAGGTGGTTTCCGTCATAAGGATGAGAAGGGTCCTGGCCTCAGAGCAGACCCCCTGTCCTTCGGGCCGAGGCCACTTTCCAGGCACCTGGTTTCCGACCTGGCGAGTTCCTCCGGGGCGACAAGGAAGATACAGCGGGGCTGCTGCCCTGGGGTGGCTCATGCTGGCACTCACACTGTAGTTTCTACACAGGACTTACAGGGTTTAAAAGGCTTCTAATGGACAAGACCCTGGCAGACTTAACCATCTTCCCCGTCAGCTGCTTTAACCCTGAAGTTTGCTGAGACGCTGAGTTACCTGGCATCAGGAGATATTTCTGAGGAATAGTTTTTATTTTCAACTGCAGCAGCAACCGTTGAACCAATCACGGCACCGTTTTCTGCCCGTCGGGCAGCGAGCCTAGTACTCTGCGTAGACCATGTGGGCCATGCGTCCTCCAGACTGGGGGCTTCTACTGTCCACGTGGCTCCTGCCTACCCGGCCAGACCTCGCCTCCTTCTCTGACACTGTCTGCAGCCTGGATCCCCTCGCTCGGACCTCAGAAGGGGCCGCTCTATCTCCACAGTCATGGGATCACACTTTCCTGGATTTGGGGGTGGGGTGGGGTGATGGGGGAGGGGTCATTACAGGCCGAGCCAACTTCTGAAAACTGGAGACAAGCTTGCTGAAGGCCACCCCTGCTCCACCCCACAGAGGCCTTTTTTTTGAAAAAGAAAAAAAAAAAATTAAAAATTATTTTATTGATTTTTTACAGAGAGGAAGAGAGAGAGATAGAGAGCCACAAACATCGATGAGAGAGAAACATCCATCAGCTGCCTCCTGCACACCTCCTACAGGGGATGTGCCCGCAACCAAGGTACATGCCCTTGACTGGAATCACATCTGGGACCCTTCAGTCCGCAGGCCAACGTTCTAGCCACTGAGCCAAACCGGTTTCGGCTGAGGCCTTTTTTATTGCAATCAGGAATCCAAAGACAGAGTAACTGAACTATTTTTTTTTTTTTTTAATTGTTAGTCTGTTTTCTGTACAGGAACCAGTGGTTCCCAGTCCTCCCACTTATTTCTAGCCCTGAACACATGCCAACCAGTGGGCGGCAGCGGGTTGCAGGCTGAGGGTGAGCTCTCTGCTGATGGTGTTCACATGAGCCTTTCATACTTTGCCTGGCTCTGGGTTGGATCAACTCTGTTTTTATTATTTATTTGGGAGATCTCCTACATTCTCCCCTTTCCCTCCACCCCAACTCAACTCTTTGGAGTTGGCTCTACTTGAGGGTGCTGGGTTAGAAAATGGAAATGGAGACCCTCAGGGCCCTTTCCCCCCCACCTGCCCCTATCCCCCAACCTCCCGACAATCCTCCCACCCCAGCTCACCTCCTCTTCCAGCTTGATGACCCTGGCCTGGGCATTGCTCAGAGCCTGGTCCAGGATTTCAATGTGTCTCCGGTGGTCCTCGCTTGCAGTCCTCACTGCTGCTAACTCCATTTCTAACTTCTCCTTTTCCTTCAAGAATTCTTTGTCTAGAAGGGAGACAAAAGCAAAACTACATCTATCAGAAAAAGTGTTCCCCTCCGGGCTCGCTGCCAGCCTACATCTGGCAAAGATTAAGGACAAGAAGCATGGAAAGAGCAGAGGGTCGAATTACTGCTTTTGCTCCCTCTTAATAGCTGTGGTGTGTGAGGCAAAGGTTTTCTCCAAAAGCACCGTTAACTCTATAGACACACCCCGTAACTCACTTCTGTACATTACCTCCAAGGCTGCAGGTTCACTTTTTACCTACGATTTCATGTTATGCTTACGACTTCCCCAGTGTCCATCTTCCAAACCAGGGGTAACGGGCAGGTGGCACTAACAAGAGCACTAATAGTCTCATTCACAGAACAATAAGCCGAGGTCCAGACGTCTAAGCTCTTGGTGTGAGGCCAGCCAGCAGAAGGGCACTCCTAGCCGGGCCTCCCTTCTCTGGCTGGATCCTCCTCCCACAGGACCTGGCCCCACATGGTCCCCCTCTTCTGTTCAGGAAAGAAAAGGGCATTGCTTTGGATTTAGGGAAAGGCTTTCCTCTCCCTGACGGACTAATGGATGGAGATGGCGTTGGCCCGTGCCCAGCACGTCCGCCCGCCCTCCTGCAGGCATCCCACCACCCGTCTCACTAAGAGGGCAGGGCCGATGGTGTCACGGGATCAGAATCATTTAGTGAAAAATTTTCCCTGTGGCAAAGCAATATGTTTCATTCTTTAAATAAGTTAGAATGGTTAGATATGTTTTTTATAATATGGAAAAGCTTAAGTGGAATGAATGTGTGAGACTAAGGGGCTGTTTGAATAAACTACTCTGAGCCCTATCAAAGGGCAGGATGCCATCATTAAAATGAGTGAATATTAGAAACATGAGGGGGGAAAATCACCATTATTGAAAAAAAGGTGGTTTACAAGTCCCTATGCACACTACTCCATATTTTTAGAAAGCAGCATATAAGTAAGCAGTAGCAGCAGCAACAATAGTTAGAAACTGATTTTATGTGCCCTCACTGGTTATCTCAGTCCTCCTTCAGCCCACACTGAAGCACAGGGAACCACAGTCTGCATGTGATACCAGCATGTGGCAGGGACTTCATTCATTCGTGATTTCCTGCAACAGTCACACACTACTCTAACAATAGATGTCAACAGTAAGGAGTAACTGCATGGTATTAAACGCTGTGCTTAAAGAGCAGCAAATGTGACAGCAGGACATGAGGATGTCCTAAAAGGAAACTTATTTAAGGCTGCAAATACCCAGGTAACAAACACACAATCTTAGAGCGTGAAGCGATCACAGGAAACATCACCATTCAGTTGCACCCCTTTCCCTTTAAGGGTCAGAAAAGGAAAGTCCAGGAGCGAAAGCACTTGGCCCTGATGTCCCCACCCGCTGGGGTGGGGCCAGGGCCAGAATCCAGGCCTCTCATGCCCATGGCAATGAACATCCTGCTTGCCTGCACCGCCCCTGCTTTGCGAGGTATGTCCATGGGATCCGGGTGCAACGGGACAGCCTCGGAACAGACAGAAGGAGTGAGCAGCCCTGGAAGCTACTAGTGAGTAGTGGCTGTGCTGCCTAGAAACGGTAGCATCCGCTGGAAACAAAATGAGGTCCCAGGGACCCCGCCCAGCACAGAACAGTAGTCCTCTGGGGCTCTTTAGGCTCCACTATGATGCCCAGCCACCCCTTTGCCCGCTTTTAGTATCATTTGAAATACTGCCTCTGAAATGTCCTTCCCAGTCCGAGGGGAACAGGCTCTGGATCCCACCATCCACACCCTGAGTGGCCCAGGGACCAGGGCACCTCACTCTTTCTGTGCACCTGGGCGTGGACATCATCTCAATGGGCATGATGCCCACTGGCACCCAGAAGTTAACTCAGCAGACAGGCCTGGGAATGAACCACTGGGTCTCCGAGCTCCTACCTGCTTATCAAGATAGCCCAAGAGTTCTCTCTGCTAAAGGCAGCCAAGGACACATGGATTTTGACCAGAAGCAGTAAAATGGTAGACTGAGCCCAAGACTAGAAACCACAACCGGGGCTTCCTGCAGTTTGCAAATTGATTATCACAATCATTGCTGTGTCATAATCACAGCTGTTTACATTTCTGAATTAACAGATACCACCCCCCTCAACACATGCGGCACGCAGGCGCGCGCACACACACACACACACACACACGATCTTTCCTTGATCAGCAGTATCGCATTGTGCTCAAGAGTGGACTTGGGCATCAGGAAGAACTGGATTCACATCCCGGTTCATCACTTGGCAGCTCCGAGGTGCAGTATCTGACCTCTCAGAGCCTCAGCTCCCTCATCATCAAATGGGAATGATAACACTATGTGGCAGTGCTGTGCCGACTCTGTGGATGGCGATAGTGCATACAAAGTAAAAAAGAACCTAAATATTTAACTTCATCTGTTTGGGTCATTGTTGATTCCCTGAGCCTAGAACACTGCCTGGCTCAGTAAATGTTGAATGGATAAATGACTTTCTACCATGTGTGAAGTTCATTGCCAACTGTACAATAAATGGCAACTCTTGCTTCGGTATTAGGCCTTTGTTACGCAGCTGTCCCCTCCACCTGTGCAGCCACCACGTAGCAGATACCTGGTACAGACCATGGACATCTGGTTTCTTTCTCTGCCCAGGCTGCTGGAACCTCAGTGTCCACTACAGGACAAAGACATGGGAACTGGGTGAAGCTCCGTTAGATTTGGAATGCTTTGTAGCCTCTGGAATTCACGGGTGAAAACACTGTCTGAGTTTGGTGACTTCAGATTTCAGACTGAAGGGTGCCATTTAGTATCCGCCGCCCTGGCTCAGAGCTCCCAATCCACTGACAGGAAGTAAAAACAACCATTTGTGACAATAGTGATAACAATAACTAAACGGCTCATGTATGTTGAATGACTGTGTCCCAAAATGGTGACATACTATTATTCCCTTTATGTTATTATTCCTTTAAGTTCACTGTAAGAGGTAGGCACCGCTATTATTCCCATTTCTATTGTAGTTGAGGAAAAAGACGCTAAGAAAGGATAACTCACGTGCCCACAGAAGTGATGCTCACCAATAGGAGAGCCCGAACTTGCATTCTCACCTAGGCCATGTCACAAGCATGGCGCTAACCGCCTCCCCTGAACAAGTGCACAGAGATAGAGAATGGCAGGACGGAAGCAGGAAGGATAGAAGGGCTCAACTATAACACAGCTCATTACTGCACAGATTTAAGTACGTCATGGGTCATGTCATAATTCTCAACATACAGCAATTACACCCACATGTTTATCCACTTGCAAATATAAATTAATTAAGCCTCTACTACGTAGAAACATTATAGAGTCCTGGTATAAAAGCATGGATCCAGAATCCAGCTGCCTGGGTTCAGATCCTGCTCCAATACTTATGGTTGTGTGCCTTTGGAAGCAAAAGCACTTCTTTGAGCTCGTTTCCTTGCTTTTAAAGGGAGGATCTCTCAACAGTACCTACTTCAAAATGCACACAGGAAGTGCTCAGTAGATGTCAACTATCACAATGCTGTGGTTACTGTGGCTGTTCTGAAAAGTGTGATCATTTCTGGGACTGCAGGTGAGCAGGACAGCGTTCTGAGCTCATTTGGGTGGGAAGCGAGGCAAAGGCATTGGCACGGGGTGCTATGAGAACACACAGGACATCTAACTCAGGCCGGGGGCGGAGGGGGAGGGGGTGTCAAAGCAGGGAGCCCCTCAGGTGGACTACCTGTGCCTCTTCCACTCCCTGGAGACTTGGGGCTGAGGTATGTCAGAGCCACGGAAAAGGCATTTCCTGGGAGATGTCAAGGGAGAGTCCCTTGAGTGAAACCACCTCATTGGAAGGTCCTTTCAGTTTATCGTGAGCTAAGGTCCTTGGGAGGGTTCTCAAGAAAGACCAGCCTCACACTGAATTTTTGGTTGGGCTCCAGTGTGTATGTTGAGAATTCCTAGAACAGGCAAGTTGACACAAGGGAACTCTTGCCCAGGAAGGTCTGTTTACTCAGTGGCTCTGAATTACCCTGGACTGCGTGGAGCAAAGAGTTGTTTAGCCTGATGGCTCCGGTCCCACTGACACAGAGATGCCTGCGCATACACTGTTTGCTCTGGAAACCACAGCGATGGCACAGGCTTTGTAGCCAGGCCGACCTGGTGTGGTTCTGGCACCTTCACTCCTGGCTCACCTTGGACACACGGCTTCACCTCTGGGCCTCCATCTCTTCCGATGGAGCTCATAAGATTGAAGTTGCAGGATTGTTATGAGTATTCAAAAGACTCTATGAAAAATACCTACCATTGGGCTTGCCACCTAACAGCTAATATATTACTGGGGGCTCACTGCATCCCAGGCACCATGCCCCGAACTTGACAACTGAACTTCACTTAATCCTCACAACTCCATGTGGCAGCTGAGGAAACAGAAGTGCAATGGGCTATGACACTTGCACAAGGCCAATGGCAGTTGCTGTTGTGTCTCCACCCATAGGTTAGTCTATTTGGGTGAGGAAGGAGCAGAGCGGACAGAACTGGAACTGGGCCCAGCAATCAAAGATACTCCCTTTGCATCTGACCCTCCCCTTTGCCACGCCACAGGGCGGCTACAATCTACTTGAAGAGCCAGATCCACTTGGATGATCTTGTGAACACCAAAAGGGGCTTCTTTTCTCTGAGGTTGTGGGAGTGGGGCATCAATGGGAAAGAATTTAATTTACTTCACAATTTAGGTTCATCCCGCCTCAAAGATAGTCCACACTCGGGAGCTCATTCTTCACATCTGCTCGCCCTCACTCCCTCACCCCAGTCTGAGAGTCAAGTGGATGAACCCAGAAAGAGACCCCTCCAACCAAACCGAACAGAGCACTGTCCACAACATTTAAGAGTTATCTGTTCACACGAGGCTTATGTGGTGCAAAACCACGTATAAGGTGACATACTCATGAACTCAGCAGTGAAAAAGCAAATATAATACAAAGCTAACCCTCAAG